GCCTCCACACAGGCCTCAGGACAATGGGGGCATAGGAGTACAAAACTTAGCTCTTCATCCTCTCCAGAGCATCTTTGCAAAGTAAAGGTTTTAACTTTGGTACCCAGTTCATGAATCACTTTGAGTCTGTTTTTGTATACAGTGTAAGATTTAAGCCAAGGTCCACTTGTGTCTTCCTCCTGCCCCTACTTCCCTCCCTCTTCCCTCTCCCCTCTTCCTTCTTTCTTTTTCAGCCTATGGGTGTTCAGTTTCTTTGTACTTTTTGTTTACACAGCTTTGGGTTTTTGAGATAGTATCTTACAAGTAGTCCAAGCCAGCCTCAGACTTGGCAATATCTTCCTGCCTCTTGGCCTCTCGGCCTCTCACGCGCCATGGTTGTAAGCTAATATACTCAGCTACATGAAGTTATATGGTCTTTATTTCTCCCTAAATTGTGTGATTTGAAATATCTGAATGTCACATGAAAAGAAATAGCAAAAAAAGCCAACCATGAAAGATGCATTCTTAGGATAAGGCACAAAGGAAGCTGTGTGGGACAGGGAGAGAAATCACAGTAGGAAGGCAATCACTCCAGTGTAACCCTACTGTTACTCCATAAATGTGGTAGAAGTGTAATTAATAAAAGATATATACTTGATTTATTATTTTGCTCAAATGCTATATTGGACCTAAATAACAAATAATGCACTGTATTTGTGTGTTTCTTTTCTGCAAAATCAAATGTCAAAAATAGTTTACACATGTGAACTTTTAAATTAGAAGTAACGAAGTATTTTATTTGTTATGTTTTGAAGTTTACATAGTGGGCCTCTTTGTAATTCATGTAGCTTGGGCTGCCAATAACACATCTGTTTAGAGTACATTGAGTGGTTGTTAATTTGTAATTGACATTTTTTATGAAGGGAAAAGTGGTTCTGGTGTCATTTCAAAAGAATGGGACAGAATATAAAAGTATGAAATTTTAAGATATTTGCTTAATTTTTTGAGATGAAATTTTTATACATATTTTATTTGCTTATTTAGATTGATGAAGGTACCTTCAAATTCCTTAAAAATGGAGTATTAAAAATGTCCTCAGACTGTATGTTTGATATATAAGATTGAAGTGGTCATTGCTGCTTAGAGTTAAAGCAGGAAATTTCTATAAAGTGAATGAGGTGATACATTTTCCAAAAGTCCCTAAGAGAAGATAGATTCCATGCCTCCCCACCCAGCCACGCCCTCACCCAGCCATGCCGCACCCAGCCACGCCCCCACCCAGCCACGCCCTCACCCAGCCATGCTGCACCCAGCCACGCCCCACCCAGCCACACCCCCTGCTCTTCTGCAGATCCCCTCTTCTGGGGCTGCAGCTTGCATCTGCTTGCCAGTCTCGTGATGTTACCCTTCTTATTACAGCTCCTCTTGGCACCTCACTGCTGCATGAGAAATTACTGAATGTCACAAAGAGGATCTTTAAAACGAAACAAAGCAAATCGATGTTTGAAACGAGAGGGAGCTGTTGATCAGAACCGGGATATATTTTGTTTTGGTGCTGTGGATTTTTAAGTGTCAGTATGAGCCCCATTCCCTTTGCCTTTCACCACATCTCCTCTTCAAGATGCTAAAATACAGCCAGGTGTAGTGTCATACGCCTTTGGTCTCTGCACTCAGGAGGTAGAGAAAGGCAGAGCTCTATGAGTTCAAGGCCAGGCTGGTCTACATAGTTCCAGGACAGCCAGAGCTACATAGTCAGACTCTTTAAACACAACAAAACAAGAAAGGTGCAAAAGGAGGGTGAGAGCCCTGTCTTAGGCCATGTAGGCTGCACCCACTCCCAGCACCACGCACTCCTTTTCGGCTGCATTGGGTGGGCCCCTGGGAAGTGGACCTACAATAATCCCGTCATTGGGCTAACTCACAGCCATCCTAGTCTCTTGTAAATGTTCAAGTTACCAACCATTTGTCAGTTTGGGGTGTAATATTGTCATAAAGGAAGGCTCGCCAACTCTCACCCTCCTTTCACCCACATCAGAGTCCCTTGACGTTGCCCATCGTCGACAGCCTAAAGCCTTCGACCATCGATGTGACTCGTCTCACATCAGTGTTTTGGGGTTGTGAACTTGTCTAAGACCCCCCATAATTAGACATCCAAATTCAAAACGCACATAGTTGGGATTGAACATAAGACGCCTTCTCTAACTAAACAGAGAAGGGGGAGATGCCAGAAGCCAGGACCCTCGCCCTTACCCTTACCCCCTACCTTTCCCCACCTGCACAATGTCCTCTGAAGCTTGGCAACTGCAAGATCCTGCTTAGCAACTGCATATAGACTCAAAGCAGAGTACTCTGCATATAGACTCAAAGCAGACTCAAAGCAGAGTATTCTTCTTAAGAATAGCAGGGAGACCATAACTCAAGCAGTGTACCATATCTTCTGAAGAACTGCAGGTAGATCATAATTCAAGGCAGTGTACCATATAGACCATGACATGTTTCAAGGCACAGGCCAAGAAGATTTTGTACTTTTCCACCACCTGGACCCTCTTACCCCCTCCCCTTGTAAAACATGCTATAAAAAAGCATTTCATGTTCAAAAAAAAAAAGAAATTAATAAAAAAAAAATAGTTGACTAATAAAAAAAAAAAAAAAGAAAGCGTAGATTCAAAAGAAAGAAATTAGGTATAGGGTAGGGTTTGGAAGCGAAGAGAAATGATACACATAAAATCTCAAAAATAAAATAAAAGTATTAATTTCTTTATTATATCTCCATAGAAACCATTATAAATAACTACTTAAAATGTTTCTTTTCACTTTTCACTAAAAGAAATTATCACTATTATCATTTATATCTTACCTAAAAAAGAATAAAAGCTTTTCTGTGGTATTCCATCTTATCTTTTTATCTTTCAACGGACATAATTGAGATCTTACAACTCAATATATTTAAAATTACATAAAGATGAGAGAAACACGTTGTTTAGAAATGTTTAATTAGACTAGTGAGATGGCTTAGTGGTTAAGGAGCACTGACTGGTATTCCAGAGTTCATGAGTTCAAATTCCAGCAACCACATGGTAGCTCACAACAATATGTAATGAGATCTGATGCCTTCTTGGGGTGTCTGAAGACAGCTAAGTGTACTTACATTAAATAAATAAATAAATAAATAAATAAATAAATAAATAAATAAACTTTTTAAAAAATGTTTAATCATTTGGGAAGGAGAGACAAACGAATAGAAAACTTGGAGTCGGTACTGAATTACCAACTGCATTTCAGTAAAGGCAGTTAGAGACATATGCAGGATACATCTTAATACACATTTAAACCAAGCCATTTTGTTCAAAAGAGGATGTTTGGACAGCTTTCTGAATATCCTGTTTTCTTTCTTCTTTACATTACATAAATGCAAAGCTTGGTAACTGCCCTAAGTATATAGTACTGACTATGAACAGGTACATATGATGTGATATTTACACTTTAGCTGTGAGGGGAGGCTTCTGCTGTGCACAGGTTTTCATAGCAGAAGCATATTCTTCCAAGTATATTTTAATTGGCTGAGAAATAATATTAAGACTGTATATAGTTTATATGTTAGTATCTATTGTCTATTGTTCCTTTTTTAGGGATTATGAAAATGTAAGTTAAGAAAAGGTGCCAAAATGACCAACACAATCAAATAACCTGGACACTTGGGGGATCTCAGAGACTGAACCACCTACCAAAGGACATACAAGGGCTGAAACACAGGCCTTCTGCACTTATGTAGCAAATGTTTAACTTGGTCTTCATGTGAGTCTCGAAAAACTAGAGCAGGGCTTACCCTTACTCTCTTACCTGCCTGTGGATCCTGCTTCCCTAACTGGCCTGACTTGTTTGGCCTCAGTGGGAGAGGAGATATGCAGTCCTGCATTACTTGAGGTGCCAGGGTGTGTTGGTACCCTGTGAAGAAGCTTCCCCTTCTCTGAGGTGAAGTGGAGAGAAGGGAGGGGGAGGAGCTGTGGGAGGAGAGTTGGGCCTGTGATCAGGATGTAAAGTGAATAAATAAATAAATGGAGAAAAAAAAGAAAGGATACTAAATCTAGAAAAGATTTACTGATAATTATTCCTGTGGAGTGTAAAGGGTGCTATTTAACAATAGTTAAATTTCCTCTGAGGTGAAACACTTCTTGGTAGAAAGAGGAAAGAAAAAACTGGTAATATTCAGGAAAAAAAAAATGAGAGAGACAAGCAAAACTTAGGAAGTTCATAAAAGCGACAAGGTCCAGGAAGTTTCTGATAAACTATAAGGCAGATCCTCCCAAGGGTTATATAAGCATTAAACGCTGTTGAAGAGAAGAATCTCCTATGCTTAAGCAACTAGTATGCTGTGCAGGAAGTATCAGGGATGGTATTGTGTTCTATCACCCAGCATGGTTTTTTGGTTTTTTTTTGTGTGTTTTGTTTTTATTTTTCTCCTGTAAGCATTTTTACTGTCTTCAAGTACTTTACTTCAATAAAGTCATTAGTTCGTTAAAAAAAAAAAAAAAAAGAAAGGTGCAAAAATGCCAGAATTAATGCGAAAATCCAGTTACTTGTCTAAATGTTAAATGTTAAACATTTATTTACTTATTTATTCAACAGTTGAATTAACCGTAATATGTTGAATATTTGAAGGTAAATAAGCCAAACCATCAGCTCAACTAAAAGGCATTTAGATTTCTTTCTTGAATATGTCATGTGATGTTTTGCTGGGAAGATTCACATTCTTAATTGTGTTTAGTTTTTCAGTGATATTAAAATAACTCCATTTCCTGACTGCAATTGAATTGTGCCATTAAGGGAGGTAATGTTCCTCCATCTCAGGCAGTACAGAATCGACTCTGAATAAAATCTGGCCATGAACAATCCACATAAAAATCAAGTGGACTGAATCACACTGAGAACTGAGAAGCACCTACAACAGCAGGCTTGGAGCTCACTGTGTTCTATTGCTTAGACATCTCTGAATCACAATTCCCGGAAGGAGAAGTCGGCCCCTTGAGTTTGCATGTGTTAGCTGAGGCAATGCTCTTGTTATCCAGTGGAAAGGAAGGGAAAGGTGAGGAGGAGACATTCAGGGAGGCTGTATTCTTTCACCATGGTCCTGTACACCAAGCCCGATGCCACAGTGTCGAAGTCTAGGGCAGGGCTTCCAAACTGACTTCACTTGTCGCTCATCTTCACCTGGAAAATTTTTATTAACCTTGGATATACAGATATGCAAATCAAACAATTACTGATAATAAATCATGCTATTACATTATTCATTATTTACCTTGTGTGTGTATCTGTGTCGGCATGCTCCAGCCACAGATCATGTGCAGGCCAGAGGACAACTTGTAGAAATCTGTAGGGGTGATATTCAGAAAACAGTGTCCAGTCTGCCTTGTTCCCGGACAGCCACCATGTTCCCCTGCTCCTTGGCTCTGACCAGGGCTCCAGCTAGCTAGATGTGCAGGCCCTGGCACCCACGAGATGCCAGTATGGGGGATGGCTCTGCCAATCCCCCACGATACATCCACAAAGCTCGGTTGAATCCCAGACAATATCTGCCATCCTCGCAGTACCCAGGAGAAATGAGACTCTTAAAGCTTAATGATTATCTAAAGGATTTATATATTTAGAAATGCTCAATCAACAAGATGCCCACACAATTAGAGTTGTTACCCAATAGCTAACCTTTTGATAGAAGTTGCTACCCAGGACAGCTTTCAACATATCTGTGGTTCTCCATGGCTGCTAGCTGCCTTCCTCTCCTTCCCTTCCTCTCTTTCTCCCCTCCCCTTCCTCTCTTTCTCCCCTCCCCTTCCTCTCTTTCTCCTCTCCCCTTCCTCTCTTTCTCCCTTCCCCTTCCTCTTTTTCTCCCCTCCCCTTCCTCTCTTCTTCTCCCAGCTCCACCTCCTCTTCTACTGCCTAATCACCCAGTTCCACTGGGAATACAATGTAGCAGAATTAAGTATCCTGCTACAGAGATCAGTTCTCTCCTGCCGTGTGGGTCCCACCAGTCAAACTCAAGGCATGAGCCCCACAGCAGGCACCATAACCCTTGAGGCCCAAGAAAATCTAGTTTGTTCTGAGCTGGATCAGGGGCTATAATACCTACTACGTAAGGACTTGAATTTAGATCCTAGCACTCCCATGAACCCTGGGCATGGTGGAGTGACCCTGTAACCAAAGCCCGGGGGTATGGAGATATTCAGATCTTGTGGCTCCCTGGCCAGCCAGCCTATTCCGAATAGTACGATGTAGGTTCAGTGAGAGCCCCTGTCTCAAAAAATGAAGCAGAGAGTGATAAAGATGGCTGAGATCTGTCTCTAGCATCCACATCTCCTCGGACAAGTGAGCACACTCAAACAGGTAAGCAGAGGCACACATCGTGCACACACATTTATTTTAAAACAAGTCTGTGGCATACATGTAATTTTATCATCTGTGAAAGAGGAAATCAAGTTCGCATACTAATAGTTGTGCTTGTTATTTTTACACAAAGAAATCTTGGTGGAATGTTTCATACTGCAGTGCAAAGTGTATTCAGGGTTTTGCGGGCTGAGTGATGTTTGCTTTTATAACCAACAATGCTAAGACCACATGGATATACAGTGACATAAATATGTTTAAGGCTTTTTCAGAAGTTGTTGGAAATTCTGTGAAACTCAAACAGCAATTTTTAAAATCAAACATTCTAATGTAGTACAGTCCACAGGTATGCTACACACCAGTGCTTACCTATTGAGGAAAGGCCATAAGAAAATACCAAAGATTTCTACAATTTAACTGTTAGGCTTCTGTAAGAGCAGAAACCTTGTATGCTCAGTAAAAACACCTCAGTTCATAATGTGCAGTAGTCTTGAATCTGAGTCAAACCATCTTATACATCATTTGTGGTGTCAAGTCCTGAGATGGCACGCATGCCGCAAAGGGCACATGTATGTGCAAAGGACACATGCTGTGTCTTTTCAACCAAGGCTGCAGTGAAATTGCTGGATTCAACAAGAGTGAATGCTGACAGAAACACCCAGATTCTTTCATACCCGATTTTACGTTAATTTTGGGTCTTTTAGGGCTCAGGAACATTTTACTGCTGCCAACCCTCACATTCATGAACCTCACACTCAGTTATATGACCCATAACTTTAAGAAGTTGTGTATAGGAAGTCACAGAAGGACCTATCCCACATATATGTATATGTATGACTTTATACATGTATGCTAAAACTATGTCAACTCACATTTGCCGAGGCTCTTCTTCTACAGGTACTTTTAATGGCCCTCCTAAATAAAAATCTCAGACTATAAAGCACACCACTTTTGAGTGAACATGTGTACTGTCTGCTAGAGTTGATGGCCTAAATGCCAGAACTTCTGGGAAAGTTCCTTCCTGCTCTAAGAGCTACCTCCACATGGATGCCCAAGGGAAGCCCGTGTAAGGAACAGGAGGACACCGACACCATGTGCCCCATCCAGTCTGGCCGAGCCCATTTCCCATTGATAAATAAATGCATTTAGGGACTATTGCTTAAACATAGAACATTGACCTCGTTTAGATGGAGCAACTGATCTCAAGGGGTAAAGTGTATCTTTGCTCAAAGGAGAACTTATGAGGTGTTTCTAACACTTTATAGGATCGTGCTGGTTAGTTTCAACTGTCCTAGGAAGAGAGTAGATGAGGAACTGTCCAGATCAGATTGGCCTGGAGCCATGTCTTTGGTGATTGTCTTGATTGTTGATAGATTAGAAGACACAGTACACGGTGGGCAGCACCATTCCCTGTTTTGGGGTCCTAGACCCTAGAGGGCTGACCTAGTCTGAGCAAGCAGGAAGCATGATGGTTTTTTTCTTGTTCTTTACTGTGGCTATGATGTTTATAAACTCTTACCACTGTGACTCACCACACAATGAACTGTAACCTGGAATCATAAGCCACACGAACAAGTCCCTTCCTCTCCTAAGTTGCTTCTGTCAGAATATTTGTCACCACAACAGAAATGAAACTAAAATGGGGCACAGGAAGGGAGCAAGAGGGCAAGGGATAGACTTGGTTGTGAGACGTGGAGAGAGTTTCCTCTTAAGGAACAGCTTTGCTCCCTCTGAATGCCTGGAGCTTTTATCTGCTCACAGTCACACAAGAAAGTAAATGCTTGCCTAGTAGCCTGCTTCATACCATGGTCCTTGCTGTCCCTACCAGGTATGAAAAGCCTCCTGTTGTCACACACACACACACACACACACACACACACGTTTCTTAGCCCTCTTGCCTACAGTTGTAGGCTTCCAACCCTTGCCTTCAATTCCCCGAATTTCTGTCTCCATCCGTATGGCCACAGTCCCCTCTTTGGTAAAACCACTCATGCTCAATAGGAGAAGGTTTCACTGGAAACGTGCAATCCAGCAGGACTCTGGTTCTCTGGAGCCTTAACGGCTGATCACCCTGAGTGAGAGCTCTGATCTCCCCACTGTCCTGACAAGCAGGGGTAAGCAGACACCCTGTTGGCTGGCTGTGCTATTCGGGGCTCCGTGTCTGAGTCTAGTGCAGGAAGCTGGTGGAGAACAGGACATTCCCACCGCCTTCTCAGGTATCGGCTCGCTGACCTTGGCCACAACCTTGCACTTAAGTAGCACTGGTGTCCAACCAGAACTCTGCACATGCAACAGTATCCCTCTCCTGAGCTTTGATTCCAAGCAGATGGGTAGCCCAGAGGATGCTGAGTGACAGTAATGACTTGAGTTCTAATAAAAATAGATAACTCGGTGTAGTTAGCTGTGATTCAGCTGGTTAGCACTGTAACCTATTACTGTGTCTAACAGGTATGACTGGGATATGGATGGGTGTTATAAACGTATCATGATGTATACCTGTCTCCCCCATGTTCAGTGGCCCCCTCCCAAATTTGTGGTATTTCTGAGCACAGCTCATGAAAAACACCAGAGTGTTTACACAGTGGAATGGGTGTGAAAGTCAGCTCAGCTAGCCCAGGCCCTATTGTGGATATCTTACACTTCTGCTCTTTCTCACGGCATGACACAATATTTACACTGTGTTTGTGTGTTTTTCCAAAGCAGTCGACAGTCATGTAAACACATCCAGTTTAATGATCAAGCCAGAAGAGAGACGTCTGTCCCAGTCTGTCCCTCTGAGCTGGCTTCTCACCGACTGGCAACACACAAGCATTTTGCACATGCCGTGTCTATATACAGAGCGCAGAGCTGTAAAGTCTTGCTTGAATCCAAGTTACCATATGAACCAGTTGGCACAAAAACCCTAAACAAAGTTCAGGGACTAACTTGTTCCTTCCAAGCAGGCTCCTGGCCAGCAATGTAAAGCAGCACACAGGCAAACATTGTTTTTCCAGAAAATGAATAGATTTTTAAACATCCCTTGACTAGAATGGCCTCTTCTCTAGTTTCTTCTCCTTCTTTCCTGCATCCTTTCCCCTATGCTTATTTGCAGGAGTAAAACAAAAGCCCCACTGGAAACAGAGGAAATATGAAATGTGTTTATAAACTGGGGAGCTAAGTTGGGTTTCGATTGGAATCTAGGACCTCTCCTATGTAAGGCAGGCTTGCTTGTCTTAGATTAAGGGTGAAGCAGTACCAGGTACTGATTCTGTGGCCCTAGGGAGCTTGTCGTACGTCTCCAAGTCCTTATTTGACTCCATTATAAAGCAAGAAATTTAAATGAAGCTCACCCTTGACGCAATAAGGAAATTCAGAAGTTTTAGTCCAAGTCCTAGCACACCAGGAAAATGCAGTCTTCTTAAGACTTTGAAGATCTCAGATAAACTGGGTATGGTGACAGAGACCAGTAATCCTAGCACCCTGAATCAATAAAAAGGAAAATAAATGTTATCATTAAAAAAAAACTTGCAAATAGAAAGCGTCACTCACTGAAATTAATCAGACCCAAAGTCTACACATATCAGTGAACAGTTAGAACAGCCGTTCTGCCGCTGTGGCATTCATACCAATCTCACATTATTCACTATCAAATATATTCTTATGCACTTATCCAACACCGAAACTGAAGCGTTTGCGACAGAGTTAGAGCTAGGGAAACATTTACATGTGTGCACAGTATAACTTATGAGGAGACAAGAAACAGTAACTATTGGGTTTGTGGAAGGCCTGAGTGTAAGGAGTGGGCGTGAGTTAGGAAAGAGGAGCTGAAGCGATGTGTGTGTTGAAGGGAAATTTTAAGCTAACTACAGAAGAGCACACATTTTCCCAACCTTGGATTTAGATTCTTGCAAAGAAACATTTAATTGATGAAAAGCATTCTGTGGAATACTGAATTTTCTGTATTGGTGGTGGTCAGGCTTGGGAAATGATTGTTTAATTCAATGAATACTCTTAAGTTTTCTACTTTAAAATGCATTCTGTAAATCAGTTAAGAGTCCTAGCTATTTGCTGAACACAGATCCCAGCCACCACACAGCCAGCGCTGTTGTGGGCAGAGACAGGGAGATCTCTGCGGATGTTGACTGACAGCTTAGCTCCAGGTTCATTAATCCTCCCTGAGTCGAGTAGTTGTAGAGTGAGAGACACTTGCTGTCATCCCCTGGCCTCTGCAAACACAGGAATGGATAAGAGACTGCACACTTAATGTGTGTATACCACACACATATACCATGCACACACATACACACAAGCGTATGTCTGGCAGTTTGTGTGGACTTTTTTGCGAGGGCCAATTTTATTATAAACTGGGAAAAGATAAGTCCATTTACCCACCAA